AATTCATCCTTTTTTTGTAGCAATTTTAATAAAAATTTTATTTTTATACATTTTTTTGCATTGAAATACTCGTTATTATTGCATACATTTTATAACAGTATATTTTATAAAATGTTTGTAAAGACATAAAATAAGAAAAATAATTTAGATGTAAGTAAATATGCAGATATATACTTTTTTAAATCCCCTTTTTACATGACATGATTTTAGTATCCTTAAGGGAAAGAGTTTCTTCTTTATTCAATGTTAATAATTTATGTCATAAAATCCGCTTTTTCGTCTCCCTGAAAAAGAAATTGACACAACTTGTGAAAAAGTATACATTAAAAGATGTTTTCGTGACACAGAGTATGACGTAGACTGATCGTTAAAATATTTCCACATAATAATATACATATACATTGTTTTACATTTAAAAAAAATTTACATGCCATTACATTTTAAAGTATCCATTGTAAATGCACCATTTCATTCCTTTTTATAAAGCACACATAATACATTTATAAAACATACACAGTAACACATGCATGGAAAGAAAATAATAGTAGACTTTTAAAATTAATGGTACTTAATAATAATATTAAAACAATTTATAATAAAAATTAATTTTTTATAAAAAAAAAATTAATTAAATTATAACTAAACCTGAAAACAATAATTTTAAGGTTGCAAATTTTTTTTTAATGTTTTCTAAACAATACAGTCAATTTGACAGCTGTTAATTATCAAATTGTCAATTTTTTTGTAACATTGTGAAATGTAAGATATTTTTTATGTTTTGGGCACCACCATTTTGCAATTTTTATTTTTGGGACCAGTAGTATAACTATGCCACTACGAGACTTTAGTTCCGCCGAATGCCGCTAGATGGTGCCCTTGGTTGTTAAGACTGTTACCCGCAGTCGATAATGTAAATTTCTACATTATTGTGATGGTAAAATAGAATTTCATATTGTCAACCGTCGGTAACCTGATGTCTATAGTCTATAAGGTAGATTTATACATTGTCAACAGTCTGTTAAGTAGATTCCTAAATTTAATTTTAACTCAGTCGATAAGGTAGGAAACTGTTTTACTCACTGTTGGAGTAAATGGAGGAAGAGAAGAGAGCGAACCGCGGAAGGCAGTGGAGGCGTGCAGCCTTGTTGAAGGAGAGTTAGAAACAATTTTGAACTAATTTTTAATGTATGATTATTAGTATATATGAAGGGTAGAATGACAAAAGGGGTCAAGCGCCAATTTATCGAAAATGAGGTTTTTGCATAAAAAAATCAAGAAAATTCATTTACACATTTCTGTAGAAGGATTTCCTTTTTTATTGCGTATTTAAATCAGCTTTTAATAAAAATTAAATTAATAAAATAGCCTCAAATTTACTTTATTGCAACCTGATTGAAAAACAAAAGAAAGTGGTGAGTCAATAATATTATCAAAATAAAAAAAATATTATTTTTTTAGGTTTTCTTTTAATATTTTATTTTAATTTTATTTTAATAATATTTTAATTAATAAAATTAATAATAATAATAAGATATTTTCAATTTTAAACAATTTTAAAATCATTTTGTTATTAATTTTTAAATATTTTTATGATTATACTAAGTAAACAATTGAATTTAAAGATGAAAGTATTGCTCAATTCCAAAGCAAGCAATTAATTCGTAATTTTCTTGAAAACAAACAATTTTTTAAAGAAATTTTTTTTTCTATTCATTTCGTCGATTCCATAGAAAGAAACTAATTTCCCAGTTTTTCTTTAAACTGTATATTTTTTTTATTATTAATGCTTAAAGAAAATGTGCGCAGTTGATATAACCTCAAGGCACCACAGTTTTTTTAATTTTATCGTTAATATGTAAGTTTATTTCAACAAATTGTTGTTTATTTATTAAAACATACTAATATATCGAAACGGTTTTCTCAGTTTTTTTTTAAATGACCTGCAAAATTTTTAAAAATGTTTTTTTTACTTCCTGTAAAAACAGCGAATTGGCGCTGACCCCTTTTGTCATTCTACCCTTCATATATTAAGGTTCTGTAGCGCAATGGGTTACGTGACTGACTAATCAAAAGATTCAGGGTTCGAATCCCAGCAGAATCGATTATATACACTACCGTCGGAAATTGTCGGTACGGCTGACGTGCGAGGAGTAGAAATTTGGTGCTGACTTTAAAGCAAGATATTTTAAGTTAGAAAAAAGTTCGAGACTAATGTACTAATTTTTTTTTGATTTCCGGCATAATCTAGAATAATGTATGGAAAAATTTGACAATTTTACAACATAATCTTTAGGGTCTTAGCTTTAATTTGCATTTTTGAAACCTAAAAAATGTTTTGTGGTTCCTGAAATATGTTAAAAAAGGTCCGAGCATGTTTTTCTACAACTCAGCTCAACTAAATCTTAGCTTTAATTTGATATTTTGAAACTTAAAAAAATGTTTTGTACTTCCTGAAATATGTTAAAAAATGTTTAAGTATGTGTTTCTGCAACCCAGCAGCGAGGCGGCGAAAAGTGATGATTGACGTCTGAGTTGTAGAAAAACATGCTCGGACCTTTTTTAACATATTTCAGGAACCACAAATCATTTTTTAGGTTTCAAAAATGCAAATTAAAGCTAAGACCCTAAAGATTATGTTGTAAAATTGTCAAATTTTTCCATACATTATTCTAGATTATGCCGGAAATCAAAAACATTAATACGAAAGTAGGAAAATTGCATAATTTTTACTTGAAATCTTTTCGGTGTTATAAATACCAAAAAAAAAAGAAAAAAAATTTCTTGATATACATTCAGAAGCAGAATTTTATCAGCTTTTCAACCATCTAAGTTGGAAGTCTCTAACTTTTTTCTAACTTAAAATATCTTGCTTTAAAGTCAGCACCAAATTTCTACTCCTGGCACGTCAGCCATACCGACCATTTCCGACGGTAGTGTATTTTTAAAAAGTATAAAAAATTTCATACTTACAAAAACTGTTTTATTATTTATATAATGGCTGGTAAGCGCATAGTTACTTCCAAATCGACCAATAAGGTTCGAAAAAAGTAGATGATACCCAGATGTGATTTCCACTTCTAAAACCTCCGTGACCCTTTCAGAGCATGCCAGGTCGACTCCCCCCAAAAATTGACCGTCATGAAATTTTAATTCTTAACCCTGAGGGCGAGATGGCGCAGCGAGCGGTGTCATTTGACGTGGCGCTTGAATTTAATATGTGACGTGTCAATTTTCTTCCCATTCTCATTGACAACCCTTGACCTGTCAAGACATTTTTTCTGAGAATACGCGATTTTTCGTGAAGAAAAATGAAGAGTACGGTGTGCAGTGTTCTACATTGTGACACCAAACGTGTAATTAATGGGAAAAAACAAGGTTTTAAATTTCCTAATAACGAATATTGTGCTAAGGAGTGGGTGAATTTGACAGGAGATAACAATTTGATTAGTGTAAATGTGAACGAATTGAACAGGAGAGAATGTTTTATTTGTGAAAAGCATTTTGAAAAAAAATTTTGTTATGTGACCAAAAGCGGAATTCAAAAATTATTTCCCAAATCTGTGCCAACTTTACATTTGCCAATGGATTTTGTTAGCTGCGAAGAAGAAATTAGTGTACCCGACGACGACCAAAAATCTTGTGTAATCGACGAAACAATTATTATTGATTGTAAAATAAATCTACCTCACGACGACAAAGAATGTACCAGCACCATCGACGAAATATCTGTATCCGACAACTTCGACGCAGAGTTTGGAGAATTAAAATATGAATCAGCAACAGTTATAGTAAGTATAAAAGCATATTTTAATAGTTTCCCTACTTTGGAGAATTTCAATTCAATATTTTTTGATAAGCCCCACTTTAAGGAAAAAAAAAAAAAGTTTTTAACCACTTTTAACGAATGAAATATAATAAAATGTAATTGCAAACACTTTTAGAAGATATAGTTATACACTTTTCCACACTTTTAATAAAAATGATGTAGAGTCAAAATCTTTATTCAAATAATGAGAAATTTGACATTTTAATTTTTTTCCTTCAGCTGAAACAAAAATTGCAATTTTCATCCAATTTATATAAATAATAGCTTATTATATGTGACGCTCCACGAGAAAAGACACCTAACGTGACATCTAATTTTAGGTTATGTTTGTGATTTTCAGAGTGCAAATACACAAAGAGAATGAACTATTAATACAAACCATTTATTTTTAAATCTTTATTACACCTAAAATATTTCGTAAAAACTAATTTCGATCTAATTAAAAAGGAACTTTTTATATAACAAGATAAAACTGTCACTAAACATAACCTAAAATTAGATGTCACGTTAGGTGTCTTTTCTCGTGGAGCGTCACATGTTCAGTGTAAATATATTAATTATATTTACTGATTAAAATTTAATTAGAATTTAATTAATTAATAATTAATTTAATATTAATTATACGATTAATATTAATAATATTTAATAACAATATAAATAATAATAATAATAATAATATTAATAATATTTAATACTTAATATTAATAATTAATTAGTAATTAATTAATTTAATTAGACACGTCGTATTAGAAATATTACGATTGCAAATTTTGTAATCGTAATATTTCTAATACGACGTCTCTGTTTGGCCCGCCACGACACTTCTTTATATTTCGAGACGGGCGAAATAATAATAAATTTCCGTAACTGTTTAATAATTTTTTTAAGTTTAAAAATTATTAATATATTTTATTTTTTTTATTTATATGAGCCGAAAGTTCTGAACGTTCATATGAACGACATATTTTTTTCAATCTATAAATTATTAAAAATTATGATGACCATGTAGAATAAAACAGTAAAGTAAACAATTATTAAATTAATAACTTCTTTTTAGATATTTTAAACAATATTTTGTAATAAAATTCGTACTTAAAGAAGTTGCAAAAAAAATTTCGTTCATATGAACGTTCAAAACTTTAGGCTCATAAATAAATCGCGTTTGTTAGAATTTTACTAATAGCACATAGTTTTTAGGCAGAGGAACAAAATTATGTCGAGAGACTTCATATTATTCACCAAACTGCCAACGACAACACAGAAGGAAGAGAACTTGAAGATACCCCCAACGACAACACGGAAGGAAGAGAACTTGAAGATACCCCCAACCACAACACAGAAGGAAGAGAACTTGAAGATACCTCCAACCACAACACAGAAGGAAGAGAACTTGAAGATACCTCCAACCACCCAACGGAGAAAATGGACTGTGAAGAGACCACCCACCAGCCGAAGAAAATAAGAGTTCGCCCCAATAAGAAGACTCCGTTTCGAGCGCGTGAAATACAATCACCTACAGAGCGCAAATTATTTCATGAAGTATTGCGACTAAGGAAACATAACCAGGTTCTACAAAAGAAGCAGGCCCGATGGAAGAAGAGAAGAAATCTTGAGAAGCAATGTACACCGAAGCAGACGATCAGAATGCAGAAGGGTTTGAAAAAAATGAATCGAGTTCAAGAAGAGTTTTTAAACATGATGCATGCAAATAATAGTATAAAGTCAAAGGGCAGAAGATACAGTTCTTTTGATAAAATATTGTCTCTATCTATTTACAAACAGTCTCCCAAGTGTTATCGTTACTTGCAAAGTTTTCTTCCTCTACCTTCAAAGAGTACACTTTCGTCCGTTTTGAGTAAAATGCATATTGATACCGGTATTACCGATGAAACAAAACAACGTTTGTTGGAAGCTGCCAAATTGTGTACAAATGATCAAGAGAAAGTCGGAATTCTCATGTGGGATGAAGTTTCTCTTGGTTTAGGAGTACATTATGACAGCAGCACTGACAAAGTTGTTGGATTTGAAGATTGGGGGACTGTTAGAACAGAACAGTATTCTGATCATGCTCTTGTCTTTATGCTTAGATTAGTTAAAAGTGGTGCCAAAATACCAATCTCTTTTAATTTTTGCAGCTCCATGACGAAAACTGCTCAACTTCTGAGGTGCATCAAGGAAACGCTTGCGGCTGTTAAAGAAGCTGGATTCCATGTAGCAGCTACCGTTTGCGACCAATGCAAGACAAATGAATCGGCCATTAACACCTTAGTTGCTGATACTATTAAAGTGAAGGGATCAGAATATGTACAAGCTAGTATGTTTATTTTCCTAAATTGTTTTAATAAGAAACTATATAGTTTCAGTTTTTCACACCTCAGATGGTACTTTTATTTTTCAGGATATGGAAGTCGTTCCTCTATTTGACGTTCCCCACCTCTTCAAATGTTTAAGAAATAATCTTCTTGGCAAAGATATTCAGTATCAAAAAAATAAATTTGCAACATGGGATCATATTATTACAGCATATAAAATTGATATGTTCGCAGGTAACAACATAAGGCACCTTCCGAAACTAACAGATAAGCACGTCTATCCTCAGCTGATCAAGAAAATGAACGTGAGTTTGTGTACCCAAGTATTTAGTAGAACCGTTGCAAATCGGATTAAAGATTTGTCAGGCGCTTCCAAAAAGTCAACTGACGATGGACCACTAGGTATACCAAAAGATGGAATTAACACCTCTTTTATTGTAGAATTTTTTAATAAACTGTTTGATGCCTTGAATGGAAAAGAGGAAGTTGACAAGTCTAGTCCATTTAGAACAGTTTTAACAGATGATAGTTTCCATTTACAGTTTTTTAATGAAGCTCTTGCCATTTTATCGGATATAAAATTTGTAAATAAACAGACAAAGAAAGTTTTAACCCAACCACCATGTTTAAATAATTTAAAGAAAACTATTCAAGGCATCAAAGTTTTATGGAAAAACTTGAAGCAATTCGGTTTCACTTGCTTGAAAACTAGACACTTAAACCAAGATCCATTGGAGAATTTTTTTTCTCAAATTCGAGGTTTAAGTGCAAACAGAAAACCTAGTTGCTTCCAGTTTATATCCATCTTTAAGAGTCTTATTTTTAAAACTTTTAATAATTATAAACCGTCGACATCAAATTGTGAGAATGATAATGGGAATACGCTTGTTTCATTAGAAAGTATGTGTAGTGAGAATGTGAATTATTCCCGTCCTCATGTTTATTTACAAAAAATTGTGAATCCTGCATCTTATAATGAAGATGCTATTCCAGAAAAAGGAAATCTTTCTAGCGACAGCAATAATTTATTAAATTGTTTAAAAGAAAAAGTTCCTTCATTAGTTTCATGTAACAATTGTTCTTCTAGAATCAAAACATCACTTAACTCTTTTAATATTAAAGAATTACACAACGACACTAAAAGTATTTTGCGTAGAATTATTCCAACTATTTTCTCAAGTGTCGGAATTTGTAACAATGCTGCAACTACTATCAAGAAAGAGATAACAGTTGAACATATTTGCTGCCCTATTCACAAAAATGAAGTTATGGAACAATTTATCAATCTCAGTACAACTTTATATTTGCGTTCTGTAAGTTCCTTCTTAGATTGTCTGTTGCGCGGAAAGATTTCTTTTAATTTGGAAAAATACCCTCGAGCAAACATGTTTGTCATGAGAGCTATAAGTAAGTACGATTCATCTTTGAAGAATAAGTATGTAACGTTTTCAACTATTTCGAAGAAATGTTAGGATTTAATATTTTTCTTGTCCCACGTTTTTAGAAATCAAGGTCAGGGAAGTTAGGAAATCTTTTTGTTCAGTCTTCATGGACTCCCTGTAAATATTTGTATTTCAATAATTATTTTGTTGAAGTTGTAGAAATTGTATTACGGTTGCAGTTACAAATAATACTTTCGTAGACATGTCAAGTTCTACATGTATTGTACTGTATTACATACTTATATCTTTAAAGACAAATCATACTACTTATCTTCCTATTGTAAATAGTTTATTAAGGTTTAAATACTTAAGGTATAAGTTGTAAATTTATTTTCGTTGTCACAGAAGTTTTTTATATTTTATTTTATGTATTTCTATTTTATGTAGAGGAGTCATGTTCTATTAACGTCTAAGTCGTTAATATTGTTTATTTTTTTGGGAAATACGTATCAAATTTATCTTCGTTGACATATGAATTTCTTTCACTTCATTGTATTGCATACTTTTATTTTTGAAGAGGAATTATGTCATTCAATTTCAGACTGTTGATAACTTTTTAAATTTTAAGTTTTTAGATAATAAGAACATTTCTTGTCGCCTAAATTTATAGTTTGTTTCTCTATCTTCTGTATGTCTATGTATGCATATTAATATTAAATTTCTTTAAATAAAAATTTTGTTTCCCCGCCCCGAAAAAAAATTGTTGTTCATTATTTACCTCAGAAAATGTATTTTAAAAAAAAAATTTCTATTTTTTAAAAGAGGTGTATATAAATTTTGTTTTTTTATTAACATTAATAAATGAGAAAATAACTATTACACATGAACAAATAAAAAAAAATTAAATTTCTCCAAAAATATGAATTTTAACGCAATTTTTTAGAAATAACCTCACATGTGTTTTTTGATGACAGAATTTTTTTCCCCTTAAAAGTGTTTATTCATTTAATTAAAAAGAAGAAATTCTATTTTATTAAAATTATATTATATTAAATCTATAAATTGTAAAATATATATTTGAATTATTATGAAAGTCTGGTTTAGAAATAACCCGACATGTGTTTTTTTTAAGATAGAACTTTTTTCCTTCAAAGTATCAATTCATTTAATTAATGTAAAAGAATTAATTCTATGTTATATTAAAATTCTATTCTATTTATTTTATTATATATTAAATAAAAATATTTAATGAAAAAATCATTTGTGTTTGCTTTCTCAAGAAATTATATTTTAATCTCAACATTTTTTTTATTCTTATTTACTCAGCTACGCTTTTTACCTGTAATTTGTTTGCATATGTATTTTGTAAAATGCAATATATTTAAAATTGAAATAACAGTGAATTTTCAACACGTATTACATTTACTATATTAGGTTACCGAGATAACAATAAATATTTTTTGGCATTAGCAGATTTGTCAAGAGTCTTTGTTTGTTTGTCTGTTAAAAATATAATGTAATTTTTAGAAAAGCGGTGTCCTTTTAAATAGATTGATGATTCATTTTAAACAATAATTATCCTGCAAAGTTTTGAAAACATTAAATTTCCATACAAAAAAATTAATGTCTATATTTTAAACAAAAAAAAATCACTTTTGTTTTTAATATGTCTACACATTAAAAACAAAAGAGAATCACTTTTGTTAACAGAATACATAATTATTATTATAACAGATAGCAATTTTCATTAAGTAACTTCATTGGAAATGATTTGAAAAAGCCAGCGCCACAACACATTTAAACATATCAGTATACATATACGCATACTAATACATTCTCAGCGTGCTTTAGTTCGCTACCCTGAGGGCGAGATGGCGCAAAAGTTGCGGTCAACACTTTTCTACAGACTCGACCTGGCATGTTTCAGAGTACAAATGATACTAGGTCCAACTACTCATTTAATCTTAAAATTTACCTTACTGACTTCAAAATTTTTTTACCGACATATAATAAGTTAGGAATCTGCGTTACCGACTGAGGTTAAATACCGTCATTAGATAAAGGGCGGTGGCGCCATCTAGCAGTAACCTGTGGAACTAAGGTCTCGTAATGGCATAGGAGCCAACTGTTTTTTTAAAACATTTATTGCAATTTTCATAAACTTTTGGCTTCTGATATATTAAAATTTTTTTTATTCTTCAGGCACAAACATGGTGCTTTAAGATACCTGACGTCCGTGTGTAAAGCCAATCATTTATTCTCTAGTCTAAAAATGACATTCATTTTTCCCTAAGGTAAAAATGAACGTCATTTTCAAATGGGAGAGCAAATGAATGACTTTTTCACAAGGTCGTCAGGTAACGTAAAAGCGTCACGTTTCTACCTTTGAAATAAAAAATATCGTAAGTAAGTCTCGAAGAAAATAAGCTTAACTTTAATTAAAAATATTAATATTTGAAAAATTTACATTGGCTTTTGTAAAACTCTTTTAAATGAAAAATACTTTTTTAAATAGTTTCGCGTTTCTTAAAATAAAAAATCATTTTTTCACGTAATAAAATAAATTTTACAAAATAATTATAATTTCTGATTTTTATTTTCTTATGAAAATCATACTTGAATTATAAAAATATACGTGTTCATTAAGCAAATAAAGAAATTGGCACAATTCCTAATTTGCAGCCGGCAGTTTCACGATAATATGCAAAAATGCGTCGTTTCATTGAGATTTTTAAATCCCCCTTTAAAATTAATGTCTATTCACTAAACTACTTTATGCGGAAGTACACTAGAAACATTTTCGTTGTTACAAGGAAGCGTTTCCCATTGCCTAGTTGCAATTCGAGCGGCGTTGTATTTTTTTTTTGTTTCTTTTTGTCCCAAAAAGAAAACAGATAAAGGAGGAAAAAACTGAAGTTGCAGTAAACACTTAACCGGAAAGAAACTTTGTGCAATCAACGTTTTAAAATCCTTTGACTTTTAATAAATTTTTTCCAAGCACACTAGTTTCTTAAAATAAAATAGTTTTTGTAAAATACAAATAAAAAAAAATAGTTTTGCATTAGTAATTAATGAAAAGTGAAATTTCTCAATTCGTTACACTAAACTAATTAGGTAGTTACTAAATAATTTTTTAATAGTATAAGTTGGAGACCAAATTCATTTCAAATCAGGCAAGCTTGACTCGGTCGAGACTAAAATTTAATTTGGACCTCAAAATATTGTTTTGTAAAGAATATTAGACGATACGTATAATTTAATTTACCTGAAATTTTTTTTGTTTTTGTATCACGTACATTATTTGACATACAAAGCTTACATTTTTTATACATGTTTGAATTATAATTGACTATGATTGAAAAAGAAATCAATAAAAAATTTCCATTAGTTATGATAAAAGATTAAAGATTATATAATAGATTATGTAAAATATAATCAATAGGAAACTTAAACTTTATAAATTGATTGAAAATTCATGAACTTCCCCAAAATTTTAATTTTTGATATTAATAAAATTAATCCTTTGCGGCACACATTTTTCATTCCACTCAAAAATACAGATGATCACACCTATAAGGGTTTTTGTGGTCGCTTATTACGGATCTAAAGTCAGTTTTTAAAAATTCAAAATGGCGGATCCAATATGGCGTATGACTTTTTGAAAACCTAATGCAACTCGCTTGAAACTTGTTCTCGGGGGTTTTTGGGGGGTCGCTGATTGCGAATCTGAAGTCAGTTTTCAAAAATTCAAAATGTCGGATCCACTATGGCGTACGATTATTCAAATCTAATGCAATTCGCTTCAAACTTGTTACTGGGGGTTTTTCGAGATGATTTGGTAGCCTTGAA